CACCCCGGGTCATCTCCACTATCAGTGTTCTCTACAGTGTGTCCAGGCAGTGACTGGCCACACCCCGGGTCATCTCCACTACCAGTGCTCTCTACATGTATGTTCAGGCCAGTACGCACTGCTACAAAACATGCTATAGATTCCGGACCTCCAACTTAGCAAAGGCTTTAGCAGCTGCCAAAAAATAAAAACAGTAGTAAAACAAGAGACAAAGACTTTTCAGTTTGGGGGCACGTACTATTAAATTATAAACCTTCTGAGAATATAGCTTCTAAATTCTTGATTAGAGATGTTGAATGTGTTCCTTGGTTTATTATCTGACGTTAAAAATTAGTTTTAGTTATCCAAGTAGTGGTGACGCGCACCTTTAACCCCAGCACTTGGGAGGCAGAGGCAGGCGGATCTCTGAGTTAGAGACCAGACTCCTTATTTAAACTACAAATTCTAACATTAATCAACACATAAAACCTAAAATCAAATCAAGTGGTTCTATCAATCAATCAACACTTATAAAAATCTATGATATTCAAGGAGTTCTAGCTTCCAAATGTGAAGGCCCAGTTACTGCCTCCGAACAGAGTGACAGAGAGACAGCAGACATGAGGCCTGTGGAGACATGGCCATCAGTATTCTACATGTTCCCAAAGGCCACTAGAGCCAGGGCTGTGCATGCACAGACAGGCGTGCCTGAGAGAAAAGGTGGGCAGGCCCCACAGCCTTCCCAGGTGGCGGTAATCAACTATCCAAGTCTCTCTTTCCCTCAAAGTCCTCGCTGGAAAATAGAACATGGCACATTTCTTCCCATATTTCTGACAATATTTTGCCATCTGTCAAAGAATTAGCAAGATTATTAAATTCTAGTGGCCTTTCATATGTGAATTGTGGCTGTCAGAAATTCTCTCTGCTAATACCAAAGAGAAGTCTTCTTGACGTGGATAAACTTAGCGAAAGCACCACCGCTAAACGATTTTAGGATAAGTAATACATTGTTACCTCGAATTATTAGGAGACAGTTAATAGTGTAATCTATTGGCGAGAAGAAATCTGACTTAACACTTTGAAAATGGCTCACCTTATATTATTTTCAACAATCCAAGAAGCTACAGCTAGGGCAGAGACAGACATCTCCAAAATAAACCTGCTTTTATCTTTCTAGCAGCCGATGTGTATATTCATGTAGCTATCCAGACATGGAATGTGTACCAATGTAAAGAAAATAGATCTACTCACTCAGTTCTTTGCCAACTGCTGCCACAACACAGTTCCTAGGGATTTCAACCAAAGCACTGATCCCTTCAAAGAAAACATAAAACAAGACAAATCATTTTCTCTCACGGGTTACATCAAAAACAAAACTTTCTCAACTTTATGTTAGTCATTTCCCATAAAACATACTTAATACCTGCTACATAAACACTTCCTTTCTATCTTACACATGGAAACTGAGTTATGAGTAAGCTTCTGATCACTATGAAAGAATATATATATACACACACACACACACACACACACACACACACACACACACACACAGGCTCTGTGTGTAGTAACATGGTATACTCAACCATTTCCCTTACATTTACTAAGTATCCCTTAGGATAATCACCATCAACCAACACATGAAGGCTAATTCAATGAGCTCATCCGGCTTTCCCTCAGTGTAACTTTAAGGCATGCTCACTTGACCCTGAATGAGCTAATGTAATCATGGAAAAGCCATATCTGGCCATCCTGTTCCCTTACACAACTCCGAAGACATCGTCTTTCTGTGTCCCAGTGAGATGCTGTGTCTGGTCAGTCCCTGGTAGCTATGGGGTGAGAGCTGCTCATTAGCAGGATCAAGGCAGGAGGAGAAGCTGGTACTTTTGGCCTCACCTCTCAACTTCCAGGGAGAGAGGGACAGAGATAATGTTGGTCACCAGTCACAAATGGTTGGATTAACCATATCTACAGAAGAAAGCCTCCACACAAACCAGGATAGGATTCAGATAGATTCAGTAAAGCTGAACTTAAGACAGTTCCTGCAGGGTGGCACACTTAGGGAGGGCACAAAGCCTCTGTGCCCCTTCTTCCCACCTTGCCCTTTGTAGTTCTTCTTTGGTACTCTGTGATAGACCCTAAGTGGGTAAATGTGTTTCCCTCAGTTCTGTATACCACTCCAGCAAAGTGAATCCTGGTTTATAACCAGGGGGTCAAAATCTAAAACACAACACCAAGCGGGCATGTCAGCAGAATGATGGGTAAGAAACGACTGAGGACTAAGCTCCTGGCCTGTGGGACTGGACACCACCTCCAGGAGACAGAGTCAGCCTGAGAAGGGAGGACAGCCAGCTGGGTATCTTCTCTAGGAGCACAGAGGAAGGGAAGCGCCTATGGATCAGCTAGCCATTCCCAGCTCGATGTTCTACCCTCTAATCAACAGCTCGGGGAGTGGCCTTCAAACAGCATGTCTACAGCTAATCAGTGCATTTCCAAGATGACCTGAGTTATTGAAATGACTGGCCTTCATGCCACCACACTTCATTCATTTATGTTTGGTGGCTGCTATTGTCTGAACTGGCCTGTTGAAATCCAGGGTTTGGGTATTCCTCCTTGTCAGCCTCCCAAGTAGCTGGATTGCTGCCCACAACACTTTCCTTGGCCTTAAACACAGAGTATCTTTTCATAGCTGAATCATAAAATGGTTTCAGACTAACCGAAACTTCAAGTATTACAAGTTGAAATACTGGAACACATTAACATGAAATTTTTTAACAAAGTTAGTCTTCCCTTTTTGCTATACGTAATATATAAATGAAATTTTTAACATAAATGCAAACAGAGATGTCCCCCTTCCTTTCCTTCTTACCTGTCAAAGACTAGCAACACTGTTCTAATGTCAAGAGCGTGTCCGCCCTGACTTCTCCCACACAGGGCATATTTTACATTTGTTTTGTGTGCACATGGACGAGATGGAGGAAATGTGACCAAGCACAGAAGAACATGGAAGACTGGATAATGTTTCTGCACATTTGTTCGTTGTTTTTTGAGATGGGGTCTCACTCATAGCCCAGGCTGTCCTCAAACTTGTGGACATCTTCCTTTTCCAAGAAGAATTTTAAATGCAGAAAATGTTCACCAAGGGGCCAGGGATATGGCTTAGGGAACAAAGGCGCCTGCCATCAAGCTTGAGGACCTGAGTTTGACCCTGGAATCCACATGATAGAAGACAAGGGCTCACGCTAGTTGTCCTCTGACCTTCATACATGTATCATAGCCCAGGTCCCCTACACGCATGCACGCACGCATGACACACACATATACATGTTCACATACATATAATAATATATAAAACTGCAGAATATTATTAAGTGATCAGGGTCCTGCTGGCCCACACTTGGGTTTCGTTATATACAGAAAGTAATCAAAGGTTATCATGTTCACTGTGACACTAACATAGGGATGTTATGGAATCCACCTATGTGCTCATCAATCGATGAATGGATAAGGATCATGTGATACGCACATACACACAATGAAGAATTAGCAGCCATAAAGAACAAAATTCTATTATTCTCAAGGAAGTAGATGAACTGAAAGTCATCGTCTTAAGTAAGAAGACAGTGGTGCACATCTTCTCTCATATGTGGAAGGAGGGTGACTTTGGGGGGCTAGAAAACTAATGCAAACGTAAGGATGACAAGAGAGGGGGACAGGATGGGTAGATATCAAATACATTGTTTCCATGTATGAAAATACCATACTGAAACCTAATACTTGATACAAATAACATACATGTGAATATAAATGTTCATTCAATTATTTGTCACATGAAAATACTAATTGGATATGGCTACCAGCAATCCTACATGCAATTATCACATTATATTGTGGTATGTCTCTTTAAAGATTCAACTGTCTTTTTCAATAAATCGCATCTCATAATTCTCATGCCTGTTTTTTACCTGTATCAGAAAGGTGGTTGGTCTTACATAGCAGATCTAATTTTCGGTTCCACACACCTAAGTCATTACCACCCGAGAGCCAAACGTCCAGTCCCTGGAGAACAGTTAAGCACTGCAAAATTGATTGGAAATGTATTGTCAGTCTAGAAATGCTAGCATTTGTTATCCCATGGTTTTAAACTGTGTCCCCAAGTTCTTTCAAATCCCTCCTTTTGACAGGCGGTTTGTTTGGCTTTTCTGATTCCGGGTTCCTTAGGAGAAAATTGTCTCACAGCATTGGAGCAGAGAGACCACGTGATCTGTAAGGCAGTCACGCAGTCTAATTTGTAACGAGGTCACAGAAGACGCTGGGACTTTCCTGTTTTCTCTTAGCTAACTGCTGCAAGGCGACAATGGAGCAGTCGTGGCCTCTGAACAATGCAGAGCAGCCATGTACCAAGCCACCTGGAGCCTCTGAGGAAGTTCTCGACCCAGACTAGCCCTCTGGCTGTGACAGTCATGAGAGCCGGAGCCAACATCACTCAGCTAAGAGGTTCTCTGTTACTGAGCACAGACACCACATGTTTATTAGGGCCTTAAACCACCAAACTTTCAGGGGACTTGGGAACCACTCATAGATAACATACTCACAATCCTTAAAGGCCTTTTAAAAACAAAATGGAGACTATGATATAGTTTTTAATTTTCAACCAATTCTCAACCATTCTACTTGGTAGACTTAAAGGCTTTCCACGATGCAGGATCCGTTACTTTACATGGTACCGTAGGGTCCCTTTCTTCAAGAGTCATGTCCGTACCCACTATAGGCCCTGCCCATTATAAATCCACCAGGCCCCACCCTCTATAGACCTACCAGGCCCTGCCCACTATAAAACTACCACATCCTGCCCACTATAGACCTACCAGGCCCTGCCCACTATAAAACCACCACGTCCTGCCCACTATAGACCCACCAGGTCCCGCCCACTATAGACCCACCAGGCCCCGCCCTCTATAAACTCACAGGCCCTGCCCACTATAAAGCCATCAGACCCCACCCTCTATAAAACCACAGGCCCCGCCCACTATAAACCCATCAGACCCAACCCTCTCATTTGTTTGTCCCTGATCTCATTTCCAACTGAAACATTCTCACACTTAAATAAATACACATAATCCCAAAAATTTTGTCTTCAAATGGCTGTGTAAAAGCAACAATGTGTAAAACCTAAAGAAGTAATTTCATCTAATTTCTTAACTCGTTTTGAGAACAATACAAGCATTAAAACCTGAATCTGCGTCAGACTTTACCTTCACGGTGGACTGGAAGCAGGAGACGCTCTGGATCTGTCTGCCAGTGTCACAGTCCCACACTTAGACTGGCGTTAAGAAATAATTTCCAACCGGAATCTCAAAACTTTAATTAGGAGATGACACTTCTAATTAACAATCAAATCACAAGGATAAACAGACCCACCAGGGCCTGGTAGGTTTATAGTGGGCGGGACCTGTGAGTTTATAGAGGGCTTGGCTTGGTGGGTCTATTTATTAGAAAATCTTTAAGTAAAATCTAAGCTATCCAGTGATGACACCGCCATAGATCCAGATGGCACATCGTCACCGCTGTACTATGAGGCCCTTTAAGGACGCAGCAGGGCAAGAGCTCTGAAGCGCTAATCTTCATGGGCATCAAACACTGCCTCTGCCTAAAGGGTACTCTTGGGAACAGTTTACCACGATGCAGTGAGCCTGTGCTGTATGAGACAACTTCTCCGTCTCCCAGCAGTCTCTGAGAGCTCACTGGGTGCTCATACACGGCTCACCACTACTGTGACAGTAACTGTGTCACTGGGACTGAGTCTGTGCTGAAAACCACTGTAAGGCCTCTCGCCACACGGTGAGGGCGCAGTTTGTTTAAAGAACAGGATGATCTTTATAAACTTTTAACACTACTTCCTACAGTGTGATACTCCATATCATATACATATAAATATCATATCATATACTTGTAAGTGTAAATAATATAAATGTATGGCAAATACATTTTATAACACTGTGACACATATTTAATAGTATATTTTAAAGTTAGTTTCATAATCTAGTTAATCATACAATATCTGATTGTTTTTATTAATTCTACTTCACTCTTCAAATGCAGTTAATTATAAAAGGAGAGACACCTGTATATTTGTATGTTTGTGTCACACTACACAAACTACTCAATCATAGAAAAGCTCTCTAATTAGACGATGTTTTCCGGCTTTAATCTCCCAGTTCTACCACCCCTCAGTCTTTCCATAGATTTCAGTTTGAAAGCTTAATGCTCAGTACTAAGAAACATGGACTCTTAAAACCATCACTTGACAGAAAAAAATAAATAAAGTCTACCATCAACATTTAATTAAGAAAGTTAATTAACAGAGGTCCAAGGAGAGTAAATTTAGAATCCATCTGGATAAAATGAATGCCAAAGTTCTCTGGGATTTCGTTTTAAGTAAGAGTGATTTCGTAGACACAGATAGATGGCTGTGTGTGACCTCACTACTTACTGGTCCCAGCATCTTACCCCTGTACTGGGAAAAGTATTCTAATAATTGTCTATAATACTAGTACAGCATCTAAAGGGCCTAAAAAGACACTGTATTTTAAATTCTACTTCTGCCGAAATTATAACAGAGAAAGAGACAAGAGCTTGAATCCATAATGTTTTCCTTTAGAGTGGCAGTGATAGGTCTCGCCTAGCCCAAGGATCTAACCGAATCCTGCTTCAACGTCAGCCCACTTAAATGTTCTGACATTTTCTGACAAGTTATCTAGAAATGGTGTCAGCTGCTGAGCTCACTCTACGTGGGACCTCAAGTCGCATGTCCTGGTTCAAGGGAGGCCTAAGAAACCATTCCTCCTCTGGGCTTACTTCTAAACTTAACAGAGCTTTTAAACAGGCATAGTTTGTCCTGGCCGACCTGATGCTTTCAAGAGAGGAGTGGAAACCGAGTCAGCCACACACTGTTTATCAGGAGCGAGTCTGCCACAGCTCCAGGACCCTGACCGCAGACAGACTGCTGGCCACCACTCCGCCTTAACTTGCCAGACGCCTTCGGCTGGGCACCTCTGTCTCTACCCTCTCACTTGTGAGAATGACCAAAACCCCTACTTCATAGAACCATTTTAAAGATTATGTAAATCAACATGTGTAAGACGCAACAATCCGCAGCAAACAAGCGCACTTCGCAGAGTGGTGCTGTTCCTGCTGCACTGGAATTCTGGGAAGTCCGGCAGAGCAAAAGCAGCTTCGCACCTTTAAAAACTGCCTCAAATCAAAGACTTAAGTACTGCGCAGACCCACTCAGCAGCAATGAGGCTCTCACAACGCAGGCCACACATGACAAGGAAGGAATTATTTTCCAGGCCAATTCATCCTAATTTCCCTAAATTGAGGTGATATTTTAAGCCCACAACTTCCATCCCTCCCTTCTGCATAACTTGATGAAATAGAATCTAGAACTCTAATTTTGTACTCCAAAAGCTCTGCTCCAGCTAGTGGTTTCTGACCTACAAGCCCTGACCTGCGACTTCCAGTCACCAAAGACTTCAGGGAACAAAGTCCTAGGAACATAAGGACTTGACAATCAGTTTGCCGTCAGAATACACAGACAGGCGCAGGTGCTGGGTCCCTGGCCACCGCACCCTGGGGGTAAGGATATACCGACGGTCCTGTCTGCAGAGGCTGTCAGGATGAGCTGGTGGCCCTGCTCACAAGAGTCGAGCGGGGGAAACGCGGTGATGGCCGTTATCTTCTGGGTGTGTCCCCTGAGATCCAGAAGCTTTTCTCCTGTCTGAAACACAGGTAAGAATGCTAATAAGCTTACCCCTTCCAACTTGAAGAGTCCTACACAACATCAAGAATAGCTATGTAGTGGCTGGAAAGATGGCTCAGAGGTTAAGAGCATTGCCTGCTCTTCCAAAGGTCCTGAATTCAATTCCCAGCACCCACATGGTAGCTCACAACCATCTGTAATGAGGTCTGGTGCCCTCTTCTGGCCTGCAGGCATATACACAGACAGAATATTATATATATAATAAGTAAATAATTAATTAAAAAAAGAATACCTATGCAGAAAATAAACATACTTGCCACCTAAAATTATGTGTCTGGAACTTAAACTTTTTTAAGCAATCAAATACAATCTAAACAAATATCCAAAGCAGCTGTGAATATTTTGACTATTTTCTAGTTAGTATGCTAATTTGGCAGATTTTCATAGTCAGTTTAAAGAAATAATCTTTCCTATAGTTTTTAGGAGTTGTATAAGTTCTGCAGCAATAGCAGCAGTTTACTCTGCAGAGAGAAAACAGAATCCTGACAATGCATGTGTGCATGTCTGACCTCTCTATAGCTGTAAGTGCAGAAGAAATAAGAGCACAGTAGTCTCCAGGTGTATTTACCCCAGCACCGTTCCCAGCCACTCAGTGTCTCCTGCCAAGGTCTCTCTCTGACCTCCCATGTGGAAACAAATGATATATATATATGTGTGTGTGTGTGTGTGTGTGTACATACATACATACATACATACATACATACACACACATTTCAGGTCTTCCCAAGGCATCAGGATTGCATGAATGTGTTTACAATACAGCTAGTCCTCAGCATACACCATTTTTAGAAGCATGGATTCACCTAATTTTACTTTTTTGTTTAGAAACAGTAATGTAGGCCAGGCTTGCCTCAAATCTATCAGGAAGCTAAGACTAGCCCCTTCTTGATCCCCCTAGTTTCACCTCTAGGATTCAGGTTGTGCCACTATTTCTGGCCTGATTCAACCAATCTTAGCAAATTACAGTTTTGTTTTGTTTTGTTTTGTTTTAATGTGCATGAGGTTGAATGACAGTCAAAAACTTCAGTATACTGAAGCAAGGGGACAAAAGTTCAGTCTGGGCCAGACCAGGTCTCAATCAATCAATCAAAACAGAATAAACTGTCTGGACTGAACATGAAAATACCTTTCTGGTAATTATTCCCTACAGCAGCTGCATTGTGTTAGGCATGATATATATTCTGTAGATAATTCTAAGTATGTGGAGAGTTTGTGTAGACACACAAATGTCACATGGGCATCTGAGCCCTCAGTGTGGGGCAGGGGAGGACTGGCGCCACCCGGTGGACACTGTGATGTTAAAGGACGGCTCCATCTAAGTAAGACCAGACAAAGATGAGGACTGATAATAATTATCTTTGATTCACTGCATAGCTGCTGACCACCTAAAAATTGTTCAGTAAGATAAAATCTCTCCGAGGCTGGAGAGATGGCTCAGTGGTTAAGAGCACTTGCTGCTCTTACAGAGGACCCAAGCCAGGAGACTCACCTCTAGCTCCTGGGGTTCAGACCTCTTCTCCTCTTCTGCCCTCTGCAGGGACCCCCACTCTTCTCTCTCTCTCTCTCTCTCTCTCTCTCTCTCTCTCTCTCTCTCTCACACACACACACACACACACACACACACACGAATAAAATTTTAAAGAATAAAATTGTCAGGATGGAAAAATCTTAGAGAAACCTTTCTCTCTTTATTATGAAATACTAGTCCCTGTTGCAAACGAGTATCTCTAACTAGCCCTTCTCAAGTATTAACCAATTTCAACCAATGATAATATGCCAACATGCCCCACAAAGTGTTAGTGAGTACTACCATGCCTTCACTACCATCCACATTTAATTGGTACATACCTGGGCATTCCACACAACTATAATGCCATCATCGCCAGCAGATGCAAATCTGGTTTGAGAAAAGAGGCCACAAAGGAAAATCATTAGTGACATTTAAGTGATGAGACACTTTAATGTAATATTATTTTAATAAATTATGTTTGGAAAAATGTGTATTAATATCTGATATTAAGGAATGTACCAAGGCTATAATACATAGATTAAATATTAACAATAATTTTTGTATCTTTGTTCATATTACTATATTTGTATTGGCTTCAATATGCTGATCAAATATTAAATGTTGATATTATTTACTATTAATAGTGGCTAACAATTTATTGAATTATTCCCTTGTCAGGCTTTGTGTTAACAGTTTTTAATTAGTATACAAAGTATTAAGTGTCATTATAGCACCTTCCAACAAAATTTGTTTTTGTTGATTTTTCTCCACCCCAACAGCCTCCTTGGGTCTACTTCCCTGTCACATGCTCTGCTGCCCTCCCACGCCCTCCACGCTCTTTCCCCCTCTTCTGGGCCCTTTCTGGTTTCAGAGCTGACACCAACACTCATATCTACCTGAATTCAAACATTCAAGGCTTGGATCCACATGAAAGAGAACATGCCAACATTTGCCTCTCTGAGTCCTCGTCACCGTGCTTTATCTAATACTTTCCAAACAAAACTTTATAACTCCATTGTTTTACAGCTGAAACAAATTTCATTGTGTATATATATACAACAATTTCCTCATCCACTCATATGGCGATGGGCACGTGCGATGATTCCATTTCCCTGACATTCTGAATAATTCATCAGCAAACACGGATGTGCAAATCTGTCTGTGATAGGACACAGAGTCCTTTGGAATGCATCTAGAAGTAATATAACTAGGCTCTATGGTAGTTCTATTTTTAATTTTTGGATAAACCTCCACATTAATTCCAATAATGTCTTTACAACCATTCTCTTTCACCTGCAGTGACTAAGGGTTTCTCTTTCCACACATCCTTGCAAGCATTTGTTGTCACCTGTTTTCTCGATTATATATGTTCGGTAACAGAGAATCTCATGGGGGGTGGGGGAGATGCTCATGCGTGTAATTTTAAGTGCCCATGTGTGTATGTGTGCATGTAGACACCAGAGGGGGACATTGGGTGTGTTCTTCATCACAGGCTGACGGAGGAGGGTCTTCTTTCTATGTGTTACTTTCATTGGTTAATAAAGAAACTGCCTCAGTCTTTGATAGGACAGCTTAGATAGGCAGAGTAGACAGAATAGAATGCTGGGAAGAAGAAGGCAGTGAGGCAGTCGCCATGACTCTCCTCTCTGAGACAGATGCAGGCTAGGACCTTTCTCAGTAAGCCACCACTCGTGGTGCTACACAGATTATTAGAAATGGGTTAGATCAATATGTAAGAGTAAGCCAATAAGAGGCTACAGATAATGGGCCTGGCAGTGTTTAAATGAATACAGTTTCCGTGTAATTATTTTGGGTAAAGCTAGCCAGGCGGGCCCGTGGGAAGTGGCCCACCGTTCCTTCAACAACAGGCACACATAGCCATGTCTGGCTTTTTACATAGACACAGGATATTTGAACCCATATCCTAACACTCGTGAGCAAGTAATCTTACCCACGAAGCCATCTCTCAGTTCTCAAAGCAGTTTTAATCTGCATTCCCTCGATGGCTGAGGATATAGAACACCAATCTCCGTTTTATAAAATTCTAAGTGTGTATTTGTAATGTGTGTGCACGCACATGTATATAGAAGCTGAAGTGAGAGTTGAGGATCTGAACTGAGCCCTCGGGCTTGTGTGACAGGCATTTTATCAGCTGAACATCTTCCCAGTCCCTGGAGCACTTTTAACAATACTCATTGGCCACTTGCATTCCATGTTTGAGAACTGTCTACTTCATTAGCCCACTCAACAGTTTGGGGGGTTGACTGCATCTCTTTCTACATCCTAGGTATTAACAGCCTGGCTGAAGCATGTCTGGCAAAGACTTTTCCTCCATTCTTTAGACATCTGCTCACTTTGCTGAGAGCTTCCTCTGCTATGAGGAACGTTTGGGCTTCATGTATTCCCATCTCTTAATTTTCTGGACCATTCCCTGGGCTAGCGGAGTCATAGTCACCAAGCTCTAACACACTTGAATCTTGAAGTGTGTTCCATTTTCCTCTAGCAATTTTAGTATTTCAGATTTTAAATTGAGGTTCTTGATTTTTTTTAAAAAAAATATTTCTTTGTACAGAATGAGAGAGATGGACGCACAGGTGAGATCCAGTTTGGTAGAACCACTTGTTGAACAGACCGTCCCTTATCGTCTGTATACACTTTGACACTTTACGCCTACATGAGTTTATTTTTGGGTTCTCTACTCCACGCCATTGGTTTACATGTCTCGCTTCATGCTGCCACGATGAACCTGTGTCAGCCACAGCTCTGCTGTATAACTCGAGGTCAGGCACATCAGAACCATGAAATCTTACCGGTGATGTTTTCACTTACACTAACAAATATTCGGTTCTGCAAACTAACTTAATAAATGTTTTAAAGTACCTTGTAAATTCCATAGCAGGTATTAGGGTTCAAAGACAAAGCACTGGCAGGATCACAAAGAAGAACCTTCGGGAATGTCAAAATAAGGAAGGTGATGTCTCATCTCCCACTGCTTAAAACTGTGAGCCAAGCACACAGCAAATGAGCCAGGCTGAGAAGCAGACTCCGTGGACAGGAATGACAGGCTTGGGATGGAATTAAATTGTATTATTTTTATGAAAGGCATTTTAGCTGTTTTTAAAGACAAGACTTCTCCTTTGCTCATCTCGGTTTTTTGGTTTTTTTAAATATAAACTGGGTGAGGTTTGTAATTTCTTGATAGTAGTTTTCAGTTAAAGAAAAAAAAGTATGTTTGGGGCCATGAAAAGGAAGCTACTGTAAACATTGCTTGAGCCCATCTCTTCCTCACCCTCATTCCCTCCACAATACGTGAAGTAAAACATCCTATACACAAATCCTATCAAGAAAATCATTTTTAAATTACTACTCATCGTAGTGACTGTATTATAACAAAATCCAAGCGAGCTCTGTTTCTAAGCAGGCGCCCAGCACAGCGCTGCGCAGTAATCAGACTTTAAGTTGTCAACAGTAACTGCAGCACAGCGCTCTGAAAGGGACGCTAATGACTCGCACCGTACCGAAGCTGCCTCGTACTCTTATTCCCACCTAGTTGAATTCAGGCTTTCTTAATAAGAGAAAAAAGAAAGCCAGCTATGTACTGCATATAGTTATCATCCCTTAACTTAAGGAATGATGCTCTACTAATAGCTATGTCATTTAGACAGTCCGGTATCTCCCTCTGAGATCAGCAGCGGATTCCATAAAATCTTCAAGGTCGTCAGCCAAGTCCACAGTGCTGGTGGAGGCAGTATTAGGAGGAAGGAAGCCCTGAGATGGAGGCAGCCGGCCCACAGGAAGGTCGCCTCTAGTGGACTTCACCCTACACGGCAAGCATGCCTTCTCACTCCTGTCCCCCAACACCTTCCTTACGGTCCAGGCTGAGCCTGGAACACACAGTTCATGTTTGGCTTCAGTCTCCCGCTGTCTTCAATAGGCTCAGGAGATCCCACACTCCGTTCTCATTTCAAGACCCTCATCAGATCACCCACAGTTAGAGGTAAGAGATCAGACACAGTCAGGCAGATGCTAAGTAATTTTCCATAAGACACTATACATTTTTAATGGAAAGATTATTAAGCCTCCTTAACTAGCTAGCTAGAAACACACAACGTTCAAGTCAAATGCATATACACTGTTTATGTTCATTTCAAAATGTGAGCGACTTACAAATTCCGGTGAGGAACAAAAAGAAAATGGCTGTCCTAAGCCCAAGCACACCTTCAGCAGAGTAGCTGATTTAAAAATAGCCCATCAAGTTATGAACGCAATGTCCAGAAGGGGCACGGGATATGAGAAGAGTTGGAAGTGGGGGACTAAGGGGCGGATATCATCATGTTGTACACACGTATAAAACTCTCAAAGAACAAAATTTGAAAAAAACTTTAAAAACTTCATTTTTCTTTGCTTAATGACCTGTTCACCAAAACCAAATACTCAACAGTACCTTGAGTATCAACAGTAATTGCTGGAAGCAAATCCTGAGCAGCCTGGCTCGGGGCTATTGATTCTCTGTATTATATAGTGAGAGCGGCGAGGGCGGGGCTCAAGGCTTAAGTTTTCTTTGGTATAAAACATCAATTTCTATTGATTCCCCAAACCCTTATAATTGCTTTTCTCCCGTTCAGAAAAGCTGCAGATTTAAAATACTTTTTTTTTCTAACCCTAATTTTTAACTTCTCATTATTGCTTTATCATGTTTGAATCTCACAGAGAGAAACGAGCTCTCGCTGAGAGACGACTGAACTGTTGAGAGATGAGGTAGGGAGCACTGCGCCTCAGACTGGAATTCAATCAGCAGCAAGCAAAATTAATTCTAAACAATGCTCAATACTAATGCATGAAAGCACAGTCAATTTTCACTCAAAGGTCAATTACCCACTCTGTAGATCATTCAGCCTTTCAGCTCTCTTATATATATTTTCTATGGCTGATTTATTTATTGGCCATTTCAGTATTTACTTTTGCTGCTCCAAAGTGGAAACGATGCTTTGAAAAACAAACCAATTACTTTGCCGCACACTGGCATCTCTCACAAGATAGCTAACAAAGGGTCTGGAGGTCTTCTGTGGGCTACAATTATCATATTCCACCATAAAGATCAGCTGCTACAACAGCTTATCCAGAACCAAATCCCAGTCGGTCCAGCACATATTCTATCTCCAAACCAGCAGTGGGATTCAACTCAAGACTTCCTCATACTAAGAAACACCGCAACCCCTGAAAGGAAGTAATTAGCTATTAATCAGGGAGTAACTCAGACATCGGTAAAACTTACTAAACAGTTCAACGAAAGAAAGGTGACTGCTACCATGATGCTTTACCTGAGCTACCAGCTACGTTACTAGAACCCGAAGCCTTAAGCCTCCATATACGATACTGAGAGAACA